CACACACACACACACACACACACACACACACACACACACACACACATCCTTCAGAGACTTTGCCCCATGCCGGACATTGTTTTCCCCCGACCAGGCTATAGCAGGCCTTGACTTGTGCTGAATTTAGGAAAATTTCGAAAAACTCAAAAACATCTGGCACAGAGCGCGCGCACGTGCGCGCGCGCGCGCGCGAGAGAGAGAGAGTGGATAGTCCTGAGCCGTAGGAGCGAGAGAGGATAGTCATGATGGCATGTGTAGCGGATCAATGGCTCTGCAAATGGTCTGACGATGTCAGATTCCAGCTTCATCCCAGACTGACTGGTCCCGAGGGAGCTCTTCGATCAACTCTTGTTACTCTCTGTCAAGATTACGTAGTCTGCTTTAGAATTATTCTAAGTTGGCAGGGCAGTGGTTAATTATGGATGATGTTAGCCCATGCCTCTGCCATGGGTCAAGACTGTTGTGCACTGCTCATCTGATCCGGCATCATTATTTTGATAACAACAGGAAGCAAGGCTTGAAGGCGGACCGAATCTTGAAACATTGCCTCAATTCGGATTGCTCTCTGCAACTCAAGAACATGAAGCTGGAATCGCTAGTAATCGCGGCTCGGCATGCCGCAGTGAATATGTACTCAGGCCTTGCACACGCCGCCCGTCAGCACACCATGCCAATTTCTTTTGCCAGAAATTGTCTCTATGATAAACCAATCAGGGGACCGCGTTAACTTGAGTCTATGATGTAAGCAATCTTCAGATGAGAACGTTCTTATCGTGGAACCAACGCTGGGATAGGAACAAAAAGAAATAAACAAATCAGCGGACTGGCAAAACCAAAGGAATAGACGGAGATGCTCGCGTCATGCAACTTCATCATTACACGTCCATATTGTCTGTTCGTACTTATTCTGTGAATGCCTTACAGCAGGAGGCAAGGCCTGTGCAATTCCATGAGCATCAAAACACTTGGTAAGCTGACTTCCTTTCTGTCCTCTTTTAGCCTTTCGTGAACAGGGGGAAAAAAAAAAAAAAAAAAAAAACTATGATTCTATGTAGCATTCCTGCGCATACAACTTCTCCCTGCGGAGCATCTCTGCACCCATGCCCATACCTGGAGAAAGAAATAAAAACCTTTTTGTTTTTTGTTTCTTTTGGGGGGATGGGGAAGAGGGGATGCAACCCTCTTCCAGATCGCATCCCGACTGTCAGGATCCCGACTGTCTGTATATGTCCAGGGACTGGGTGCGGGTGAGGGTCCAGGTCCGGGTTGAACCATCTCTTAACCCTAGGAGTTATCATTCCTTGGGGAAAGGATACCCATCACGTAATCCCATTTTTTGTATCTAATATAAAATTCTTCCCCAACTGGAATTACTTGTGCGCTTCATGGTATGCAAGCTGCCACTCGGCATGTATCTTTGCAGGTGTCACATTCGGATGACTTCATGATGAACTTTGGCATAGGTTTATGTTGTCAGATTGGGATGCCCGAGTATGTCAGATCGGGATCCCTGCACAATGTCAGATTCAAATGACGTTGTGACTTCATGATGTCACATTTGGATGTGACTTCATAATGAGCTTTCTTTACTACCTTGTATGCCATACACTGGATACCTCCGACACGAAAAGGTATATGTCGGTCAGACGTGGCCAGAGAGAGACGTGAAAAGAAGCTGAACGAGAATGAAGAATGACATGAAAACGGCCCATTGTACTCGTCTTTCCATTTTGTGTGTGCACGTGTGTGATTGTGCTCACACACACACACACACACACACACACGCACACGCACACACACACACACACACACACACACACACACACGAGAGAGAGGGAGAGAGAGAGAGAGAGAGAGAGAGAATGATAAGGTTCTGCCTGCAGTTGAACTGCATATGCCTTTCCTGTCATTCATCATTAATATCACTGCTGAAGGATCAGGAGAAAATGGGTCGGGACACTGGATATCCAGGGCACATTTTTCCTCCAAGCTGCCCTGGGATTGGCATGATGCAGGGCCAGCTCCCCAGCACTGGCAGCTTAGCATGATCAACCCGAACAGCGATGATATAAATAAATAATCTGAAAAACGAGCCCACTCATTCAAAAAGCCCCCAAACATTTGAGTCATGATGGCTTTACCTCTTCATCCTGGGGCTGGGGAGGTTCCACATGGATTCTGTTTTTTTTTTTGTTTTTTTTTTTAACTACCAGGTTTCTCTCATTTCTGGAGCATAGAGACTCGTACTTTTTGTATTAAAAAATAAAATAAAATGATTTACTACTTTGTCCTGTTGCCATTAAAAATCTTGAGGGTCAGTAGCGGAACATTCTGTAAGCTGAAGAAGGCTGTTTGTGAAAACTTACCCGGCCGTAAAAGCAGTCAGATACGGCCAGGCAAGTCCTCATGGTAAAGAAGGCTGTTTGTTAAAGAACAGCTGGAGATATCAGAATTGAGAATCTCAGGGCACACTCACAGTGGGACCTTTTCATCTTGTCTCCAGATACGTAATTGCCACCTGGTGCCTCCAGGAATCTCGCCGCAAAAGCGGTCAGATACGGCCAGGAAAGTCATGTGATTTTGGCCTCAGGATTGGATTCGTTGTTCAAGACCATAGAGATAACATCATTATGCAATGATCAGCCGCCTGATTTCCAGGTCTCTCTAACGAACTTCGTGTTGCGGTGGGTGGGGGAGTAGCCGGCGCCTGCCAGTGCTACCCCAGAGTGTCAAAGGCTCTATTCGATTGGCCAGGGGAGCAACACGAGGCGGGCAGATTCTTCCCCCAGGGGTGAGGTCCCACTAGCAAAGATGATAGGATTTAAGCGCATGTGCAATGATTCTCAAGTCAATCACCATCCACCTCGCCCACACATGCAACAAACATCCAGATGAGTGTTTACAGTTGGAATCCAATAGCCGAGACGCAAGAATTCGCAAGAGAGATTGGTACACAAAATATCTTTATTATACAAAGAAAAGTGTTCATGTCTCTTGCGGGGCCTCTGCCGCTCACACAGTCTCACACTTGAGCCTCCTGCCTTGGACCATGCCCTGGATACACCCGCTCAGTTCAGACTCAGACCTTGGCGGCTATGGCCACCCTGCTTCCCTATCACTACCCTAGCTATGGCTGTCGTCAACGCTCCCTTCTTCTTCGAGCTTTGTCTTGCCCAAGTTGCTTGGTCACACAAGCAGCAGCAGCGTGAAGGTCTGTGAGAGACCAGAGAGAGACCAGAGAGAGAGAGAACAGAGAGAGAAGGAAAGAACAGAAAGACAGAGAGAGAGAGAGAGAGAGAGAGAGAGAGAGAGAGAGAGAGAGAGAGAGAGAGAGAGAGAGAGAGAGAGAGAGAGAGAGAGAGA